TCGACTGGCCTGCACCACTACTTTGTTCTCTAGTTCCAACGAGTCAATGAGCGTCTTCGTCAAATTGACACACAAAATTTTCTCCCGAACCATAACACGTGAACATGTGAATGCCATAAATATCGCTTCTGCCAATGCCGCGTGTCAACTTACTGTAGGGAAGAAAAACAAAGGCGACTCATCTTGCACTCACTGGAGCATAGTCTATCTGAATGGCCACCCTTCTGTCGCAGAATACCCCGTAAATAGTTGTCTTAGACGGCGCTGGAATCACGTGATCGTGACAGCCAGCCTGTTTTGTTCGGCGAAATGAATTGGCCGCTTGCTATTACCATAATTGCTATACGGTGCGTGAGTACCGTATCAGTTGAGAGTCTGCTTGTGGATGTCGTTTGGTAATCTTCTTCATCACACGTTGTAGACCGGCATGAAGCTCATGAAGCTCATCGGTCACGCCATAGCGCTCGCGCTGAACATGACGGATAGCTTAAAAACCGTTTACCCGAAAGTGCGCGTACGCAAGACGGAAGTCGCCTGTCAATCACAAAAGAAGAGAGGCTCGCACGTCTTCAAACAATGCTATGGCCAGCCATACAGTGTCTCATCGAGGCATCTGTGTGGCCACTACCGTGACACAGCCAGTGTTGTTTTCACCGACTTTGATCCAGAGCAAGAGATCCAAACTTCTGAGAGAAGGGGAACAGGGTGGGACCAGGGGGAACTGATTTATGAGGTCGAGACGGTACTCACTTTCTGACGGTCGGTCGACGTGATTGAACGACGCGTGAGTAGTGGTGGTCGTGTTATATTCGCACGATGCACAGGACCGCCGTATCAGTGCACATCAGTTACCTCGAACACCGTAGCATTAGACGGAAGAGTGTCAAGACTAATTCGCATGATGCTTCATTGGGCTAGATAATACGGATAGGTCCCCACTACCGCCTTGTTGTTGTTGTTGCAATCTTAACACAATCCGACAAGGCACCGGTGGCATTGGTGATTTTATCATTGGCGCGCCATTCCAGCCAAGCCATGATACCGTCATAGGGTTTACATGTAGCCAGTTTATAGGTATCTGTTAGACCCGAATCAAAAAACGCCCTAATAGCATCCTCCACTTTCTGTTCACGGTTGATATCCATGCCTGAGTTATTGCCTTATTTACAACCTTTAGACGCGCAGATGGCCTACAACAAGCTCACTCTCTAGGACTGTTGGCAGTACCATGATAAATAGTTCCTTGTGAAGTTTATACACGCCTACAGTAAGCAGTTTTGTAGTAGCCAAATGAAAATTCGGCTCAGCATGTCACTGCATTATTGATACTCATTAATGACTCAATTGCTATTCCATCGTTTAGGAGCATGCACTCCAAAGGTTGAGTTATCAATTATTACCCATTTGTTCTCTTTAAATTAAATTATGCAGTGATTTCCTAGAGAACATGCAACAGCTGAAGTGTGTGATTGCCTGTGGAGGGGACAGCAACGGATAGTATCCCTTTAATAGCATTGCAATGGACAAAAATGTACCAGCTGTCAAGAAATTGATGATAATGTGGCAGCGATAAAAAAACTTCATTGATCTGTCACGTCATAATCACAAAAAATGCAGGCCAAACGAATTTTTAAAACATATTCGATAAGAATTGGTTTCGAAGGAAGCACATCTCAGACATAAGAACGTATACTGCTAGAACAAAAAACAAGGTTCAAACGGTAATTGCATATCTTTATTTAACCTGCTTTTCTACAGTATGCAGTAGTTAGTTGCAAAGCAGTATTTGTCAACTACTGACTGTTACAAAAGAGTAATATAAATTTTCTGCCTGTCGCATAAACCAATGTAGTGACTCGTATCGCCATTTTCTACGACGGTCTTGGTGCAGTGCAACAAAAGTTAGTGTAAACCATACATTTAGAGAGTATCGTATTTTAATGTGAAGCATTAGTTGTCCCATCAGGGACTTATAATAAATAGTTATGATAATCTGCTTTTATAGTTCTGATCTTTGCCAATCACGCAAGCCTTACAGATTGATACCAAGGAAATATGACGATGTTAGCTGTTCGACACACTCTTGGAATCTGGCTTTCCACTGGCCAAAGTTCTCTGTCAATTTCTTACATTCAGCAGTTTGAATGACAGCTGTTGTTATGAGCACAACATGTCATCAGCAGATCAGCACCAAGCAAAATATTTAACCACTATAAAATATCAGCATGGAACACCGACACACTCATGAGTGACACATTACCAGTTTGTCAGCTCTATCAAACATATCTTTAGAGCAACTAAACTGGTAATGCTATGACTTGCATTTTGTCTGTCATCATCGAAAAGGATGTTTGCCAATGCCTTCGTCTCATTTTCATTATATGTCTTCAGGTTCAATGCCTCTATAGGTTCAACCTGTCTGTTGCTCATGATTTTAAGTTACAAACTAGCTATAATTAGCTAACCGGAATACATCCGTTTAAAGAATGACTCACAAAAGTCGTTTTTCCGGGTATGCTGCTACATTCACCCATTCACTTGCTTCCAAATGGGTGCAAGGCCATTTTAACAGACCAAGGCTCGATGGCACCTTTCTGGAGCTATGCCTTGTACTGCTCATTATACTGAATCTACAACTCTAACATAGATCGCATTGAAGTGCATCGCATCTGACAGCATGGCGATATTTTTCACCCATTCTGGGTTGACACTTTTCTGTTATTCACAAATGAACGGTATAGTAGCCGTTTCTTGGCTCGGCTGTTAACTCAGTCGGCTGAGTTCAAATTAGCTGTCGAAATACTACCG